ACTATAGTAATTAATGTAGCTCTATAATAAACCTTGATATCTAGTAGCATAATCCTCCAACTTTGTTCTTCAAGATTGTCTTGGCCCTGGCTAGTGTGGCTTGGTTGGAGCATCATCCCGTACACCAAAAAGTGGTGGTTTCAATTCCCAGTCAGGGCACATCCCTAGGTTGCAGGTTCGATCCCCACTGGGGGCTTGTGCATGAGGCATCTGATCAATGTTTCTCTCTCATATCAATGTTTCTCTCTCTCCCTCTCTCTAAAAACAATTTTTAAAAAATTAAAAAGATTATCTTGACTATTCCTGGCTCTTTATGTTTCTCTGTACATTTTAGAATCAATTTGTCAATTTCCACCAAAAGAAATACACTGGGATTTTGATTGAGATTGAAATAAATGTGAAGCCCGGCCGGGCTCAGCGGTTGAGCATCGACCTAGAATGCAGGCAATCGGGGTTAAATTCCCGGTCAGGGCACATGCCCGGGTTGCAGGCTAGGCAGCCGATCGATGACTCTCTCATCATTGATGTTTCTATCTCTCTCTCTCCCCCTCCTTTCCTCTCTCTGAAATCAATAAAGATATGTTTTAAGAAAAAAAGAAATAAAAGAAATAAATCTGTAGGTTAATTGGGAATAATTGACATCCTTATAACATTAAGTCTTCCAATTTATGAACATTCTTTAATATCTTTAATTATTTTATGCTTTTTCAATGTAGAAAACTTGTACATCTTCGGTTAGATTTATTCCTAGGTATTTGATATTTTTAAGGGAAAATGGTAAATGGAACCTGAAGGGTTTTTACCCTGATAACACTTCTGACATCAAATGAGAGAGTTTTTGTCTTCCTGAGACCGGTTCTCCAGCTTGGACACCAGCTGGGTATTCAACAATTCAGTCCAGTTGAATTCTGACCCTAATTCCCTGGAGTTCGCACAGACCCCACAGGTTCAGTCTCCCAAACTGCCCCTACTTCAGATTCCAGTTGCAAGTCTCGAGCTGCCTGCACCTCTAACCAACTGGCTATAAACAGGGGTTCCCATGACCCCGTCCTCAGGTTCAGTCATCTGTTAGAATGGCCCATGGAACTCAGGAAGGCACCTTACTTACTCTTGCCGGTTCATTATAAAACTCAGGAACAGCCAGACGGAAGAAATGCATAGGGCAAGGCGTGTGTCGGGAGCATGGAACTTTCATACCCTTTCCCGACACCTCATTCTCCCCACACCTCAGTGTCCACAAACTCAGGAGCTCCCTGAATACTGTCATTTAGTGGTTTTTATGACATAGGCTTGATTGATTAAATCATTGACCGTTGGTGATTAACTCAATCTCCAGCCCTTCTCCCCTCCCCAGAGGTGGGGGCAGGGAGGCTGAAAGTCCCAATGTTCTTGTCACTCTGGGGATTCCAAGGGTTTTAGCAACTGTGTGGCAGGAATAGGGGACAAAGACCAAATTTCTACCACAGAATCTTTTTTTTTTTTTTTAATATATCTTTATTGATTTCAGAGAGAGGAAAGGAAAGGGAGAGAGAGAGATAGAAACATCAGTGATGAGAGAGTCATTGATCGGCTGCAGCCCGCAACTCGGGCATGTGCCCTGACCGGTAATCGAACTCCGATCGCCTGGATCCTAGGTCTACGCTCAACCGCTGAGCCACGCCTGGCCGGGCTCTACCACAGAATCTTTTTTAAAATTTCATTTTCTATTTGTTGCTGGTGTGTAGAAATACAATTGATCTTTATACATTGACCTTGAATCAGGAACCTTCTAAATTCACTTATCTAATCCCAATAGTTTGCATGTAGATTTTTCTGGATAGTCTGTGCACATAATTATATCGTCCTAGGCAGTGCTGGCTTCACCACATTTTGCAAGAGTCCTGGCAGCCCCCCGTAGGTGTGGATTTCCCACCAGCTAAGTAACTGGCTCTGACTTCTAAATCTCTGCTCATCCCACCCCCAGAGCCTGAGCCCATTCATTGCTTCAGCCAGCTCCCACCCTCACCACAGTTCCAGACCCTAGCACTTTGCACCATCCATCTTTCTTTTCCTCAGGCCATCCTTTCTGCCTCTGTGAAAAATGTTCTGAAATTGCTGTTGGGGTAGCCTCAGAGTCATTTAGATGATTTGCTAAAGATGCTGTCCCCTGCAAAAACTGGGCCATCTGGCAGGGCAGGAGAGTTGAGGAGAAGGAGATTCTGGGGGCGGGGGAGGGAGGTATTAGCCAGCTCTTCTATTTTTTTATTTTTATGTCTAGAGATAGAGGAGGGGGGGAGGGAGAGAGAGAGATTCATTGTTCCACTTATTTGTACATTCTTTGGTTGATTCTTGTATGTGCCCTGACCAAAGACAGAACCCACACTTTGGCGTATGGGGAAAATGCTCCAACCAACTGAGCTACCTGGCCAGGGCCTTAGCCATCTCTTCTTTCACTCTATGGTGTGTCCCACCATCTCCAGAGGAGTTAACAAAGTGAGGGAACAGGGTGAAACCATCAGCTAAACTAACCCCAGGATAGAGGGTCTGTCTCAGATGCTGTGAGGACAGACTGAGAGGTGAAGACTCTTCTGTGGCCAAAGGCTTAGATTGAGGAGGTCAAGTTTTACCAAACCATCAAGAGTCGTCATGGTGGAGCCCTAGCCAGCTTGGCTCAGTAGTTAGATCATCAGTCTTCATACTGAAGGGTCTCTGGTTTGATTCCCTCAAGGGCATATACCTCGGTTGCTGGCTCGATCCCCAGCCCTGGTCAGGGTGTGTGTGGAAGGCAAGCAATCAATGTGTCTCTCTCACATTGATGTTTCTCTCTCTCTCTCTCTCCCCCTTCCACTCTCTCTCTAATAAATAAATCAATTAATTCTTTTTAAAAAGAGTCAACATAGTGGACAGTTGTCTAATGCCTGAGGTCCCAGAAGTCAGGCCTGGCCCCTTGTCAGGTGAATCTGAGGTCGGGGTTTGATATCACTCCCAGACTAGTATCTGCTCACATTCCCGAGTCTGTAGGGCCCTGAGTTTAGAGACAGGGATACAGAAAAGTAACACAACAAGAGGAACAGCCCCCATTTACTGGGAATCTGCTCACTTAATACCCCCCAATCCCTGTGAGATATCTTTTATTAACCCTATTTTATAGATGAAGACCACTGAGGCTCAAATCATTTACGTATCTTGCTCAAAGTCTCCCCAGATTAGTGGGAGACTCCCTACAGCTCACCTGCAACTCAGACAGGTGTATGTCACTCCAAAGTCCTTGGTCCTTGGGGGTCCTGCATAGGGGACTTTGCCTGTAGGGCATGTTTGGTGGACTCCTGAACCTCAAGGTCCGGAAAAGTAGCTGACATTCCAAGGAGTATGACATGGATTCAGATAGATTCACACCTGGTAAAGTCTAGTTCGGAAGCTATGGCTGTTTGATCCCCCAGTCTTTCTGAGCGGGCACCATCTGCCTCACAGATCTGTGACCTACTCCAGAACCTGCTAAAGTGACCAGGAAAATGCTGTTTCCAGAGCAGGAGCCAAAAGAGAATGCCCTAGTATCCAAAGATACCCTAGTTCTATGATTAGATGAATGACCCCAAGCATTCAAGAAACAAACATGTGTCACAACCTAGAAGTAACTTTTCCAGGTAACATAAGAACCCACTGAGTATATTTTACCATGATAAAGAAAATTTTTAAATACCCAATGAGCTGCTTTGAGCCGTATCAGACACAAAAGCATTCAGTGGGCACCCGCTGACCCTGATTCCCATCACATGTGGCTCACAGTCAGGGACTTTCTGAAGGTGAGGCTAGAGCAGCCTTGGGAAGAGTCACTATCTCCTGGGCTTCCAGTCTCCCTCTCTCAGATCCTCGTGCCAGCAGCACTCTGAGCTGGTGAGGGAGCTCACCAGGGCCTTAGGCAAACCCCAGTCAGCAAGGAGAAGGAGGGAGGTTTGACTGCAAGGGATGTTTCGTATGGTCAGAGTTCTGGGACCCAGAGAGAGGCCCAAGGGGAAGTGGGCTTTCTCTTCCCTGGAGAGCTTTGCCCCTGAGCTAGCCAACCCTCGGGGCTTTCCAGAATTAGGGTCGAGCGCCTGGTAACACAAGGGCCCCAGACTGAGCGACATGTCTGTGACTCAGTGGGTTGGCTTTTCATGAATGCTTGTGTCACATGAACCATCATCATCCTGGGACAAACCCGAGTTGAATGTGATAAAACAAAAAACAGAAAACTTTAATATACTATTGGATTCAACTTGCTAGTTTTGTTTAGGATTTTCATGTTAATGTTCATAAGTGAGATTAGTTCAATTTTTCCTTTTCTTGTACTATTTTTTAAAAATATATGTTTTTATTGATTTCAGAGAGAGGAAGGGAGAGGGAGAGAGAAATAGGAACATCAACGATGAGGGTCACTAATCAGCTGCCTCCTGCACGCCCCTGGGGGTGGAGCCCGAAACTCGGGCATGTGCCCTGACTGGGAATCGAACTCTGACCTTGGTTCATGGGTGGGTGCTCAGCCACTGAGCCTCGCTGGCTGGGCTTCTTGTACTATTCTTACCTCGTTGAAGAATCAGATAAGGTCATACTTACTTCTTAAAATGTGTTCACCAGCTTTCCTCCCTCAGCTTTCCTCCCTCTTTGACCTGTTTTTAATTCTTTGACAGTGGGTGATATTTGTAATGGGATTTGGATCTTATAAGAACACCACCCCCAGAGTCTGCCTGCTCAACAAGGGACTGTTGGTACAGATGGGAAAACAAATACCTGTTTTCTTCAGTCTGTGTTGGCTTAAATATGGTGCTTTTGTTGTTTCTGAGACCCCTCTGCTGGGAGCTAGCAATTTTGCGGGGGAAGTGGGGATGAGAGGTGGGGGGAAGCCCTGGGCCCAGACAGGGGAGATGTGCTGGGGGAGAGATCCCAGGGCCTGGTGCCCCAACACCCACTCAGCCACCCCTGCTCCATGGGCCCAGTCTCCCATGAAGCCCCACCCTGAAGCTCAGCCAACCCTCCCCACGCAGGCACCATGTTCCGCAAGAAAAAGAAGAAACGCCCTGAGATCTCAGCCCCACAGAACTTCCAGCACCGCGTCCACACCTCCTTTGACCCTAAAGAAGGCAAGTTCGTGGGCCTCCCCCCTCAATGGCAGAACATCCTGGACACACTTCGGCGTCCCAAGCCCGTGGTGGACCCTTCGCGCATTACTCGGGTGCAGCTCCAGCCCATGAAGGTAAGGGGGGCGGCAGGGATGGTGAGGCCAAGTTCAGCCTCTCCTGCTCCACAGATGCTCCTGCCTGTCCAAACCACAAGGCACCTGGAGGAACCACCTAATTGCCAGCTATCAATTAGCCACTGTTTTCATTCCCTGCTAATCAGCCTCTCATTCTCTCCCGGGGTGACCCAGGGAGGAGGAGCCTGGGGAGTCCTCTAAAGGATAGTAGGGTTGCCAAGTATAGCAAATAAAAATACAGGCTGCCCAATAACATATGAATTTCAGATAACAACAAATCATCTTTTAGTGTTAAGGGTGCCCACGTAATATTGACCTGCAGCCCTGTGGGACTAGGGGATTTACTTGTGTGGGTCCAGAGGGGAAGATCCAGGAGCCTGGGAGGGGTTGGGGGTCAGGATTTAGAGGCCAAAAAGTCAGCATGTGCAGAGGAGAGCCCTGAACTGGGTGCTCTTCACAGCTCCCAGAAGGCCACAGGCAGAGCTACAGAATGGCAGGCCCCAGGTGGCATCTGGGGGGCACCTCTCCAGATTCTCCTCAGCTCCCCAAGCTCAGCTGCCTGCACCATTTGGCGTGATGGATTGTAACCCCCATGATTACTTACCTGTGTGCCCTGCAGGATTGTGAGCCACATGAAAATGGGCCTTTTCCCAGTATTTCTGCACCAGAACAGGCCTGACCTGCCATGGGCCCTGGCAAATGACTGAAAAATTAAGGCTTGGATGGATGACATAGCAGGCAAGGTCCTTAAGTGTTCCTCCTCCAGGCCCCCAGGAAGGCTCTCTGGCCTGGTCCCAGGTGGTGCCTCCCTGCCATGAACAAGCCATTCACACATTCTCTTCTCTCTCCTGCAGACCGTGGTGCGGGGCAGCTCTGTGCCCATGGATGGCTACATCTCAGGGCTGCTCAATGACATCCAGAAGTTGTCAGTCATCAGCTCCAACACCCTGCGTGGGCGCAGCCCCACCAACCGGCGGCGGGCACAGTCCCTGGGGCTGCTGGGGGAGGAGCACTGGGCTGCTGACCCGGACATGTACCTGCAGAGCCCCCAGTCTGAGCACACTGACCCCCACAGCCTCTACCTCAGCTGCAACGGGGGCACATCAGCAGGCCACGGGCAGATGCCATGGCCAGAACCACAGAGCCCACGGGTCCCACCCAATGGGCTGGCCACCAAGGCACAGTCCCTGGGCCCCACCGAGTTCCAGGGTGCCACACAGCGCTGCCTGCAGCTGGGTGCCTGCCTGCAGAGCTCCCCACCCAGCACCTCACCCCCTGCAGCCACAGGGAGGCGTGGGACCAAAGCTGCCAGGCATGGCTCTGAGGAGGCCCGGCCACAGTCCTGCCTTGTGGGCTCAGCTGTGGGCAGGCCGGGCGGGGAGGGCAGCCCCAGCCCTAAGACCCAGGAGAGCAGCCTTAAGCACAGGCTGTTCCGGAGCATGTTCCTGTCAACTCCTGCCACAGCCCCTCTGAGCTGCAGCAAGCCAGGCCCTCCACCCCAGAGCAAGGTAGGTCAGTGGGGCTTCCTTCTGAGGCCACTCTCAGCAGAGCTGGGAGCTGGCCTGGTAGGTGTCCACTGGGGAATGCATGTCAGGGACACAGGCCCTGCCTGGCCTTCCCCATTTGCAGGGTTGGGTTGGGGACAGCATGAGGGAACAAAATAATCAAGAAACCAGCTCAGCCTCAACTGAAGAGTCTACCCTGAACCAACTGCTAAGCCCTCTAAAGTTGTAAGCCAGGTTGTTTTCCAGGGGTCTTTGGAAGGGCTTATGGTACACCCAGCTTATACTTCTGCCCTCTTGGGTGTGGTTGGCAGACACCCCTGGAAAAAGCATTTTTTAACCACAAAAGCCGAGATCTTCCCTGCCCCCAGTGCCCAGCAACCCCCACCCAGGCCCCAGCAGAGATGGGGGCTCTAGCACTTGGGCAGGCCAAGGGCTCTCCTGCCTCCCTCTTCTCAGACCTTCTTTCCGCCTCCATCCCTCACTTGCCCAGTGTTCCCCTGAGGTTGTGCAGATGCTCCTGCACTGCCTCTCCCTCAGGTGCTCAGCAATGTCCCTCCCTCCTCTAGTGAGGATACCCGCCCGCCTGCCTGCCTTCCCTTTTTCAGTGGTGGTTGGTTTGTGTAATTAACATTTCTGTAATGACTTATTCTCAAGTTTGTGTGCCATATGGAAAGATAGAGGGTTGAATTTGCCTGGGTCCAGAGGTAGCAGGAGAACGGACTATAGCCTATGTGACAGTCTCAAATGCACATATTTTTCTTATAAGAAAGGAGACAGTGAAGGGGGCCCTAACGGTGACATTTCTGGGCAGGCAGAGAACAGTTTTGCTTCTTAGGTGCCCTATGGCATCCTGTCTGTGGTGACAACAATATCCTTTCCCATTTGGTAGATGAGAAGACTGACTCAGAGAGGGTGAGTCAGGGAAGGAAGGCACAAGAGGGCCTCGGCTCAGGAAGGCTTGGCTGCCTTGGCAGCCACTTGATCGCTAGCTCCTTCCTGAAAGACAGGCAGCAGTGAGCTTGGCCGGCAGCACGAGGCCTCTAAGTCAGACCTAAGAAACAGGCGGCTCAGTGATGGAGGCTTCGCTCCCCGGAGGAGGACAAGCCTGGGTCCTCCCCTCTCAGTGGTGGCGCCAGCTGGTGCAGCCTGAACATGGGTGGGGAGTCTGGGGAGTGGCCTGGACCTTTCTAAGTCACTGCCAGCCCAAGATGCCCGGGGAAGTCTCTGGGCTTTGTGTACTCCAGCCCCCCACTGGGACAAAGGAGAGTGGGCTGGTATCCCCTGTGGGGTGGGACTCTGGGGGACAAACAGATGAGGTGTGGTTTGATGTATCCGTTCATGTAAGGAACTTGAGTGTCTGAGCTGAGGAGCCTGGAAGGCTGTGCCCCTGGGGAGACATTCTCCAGAAAAACAAGGTGGGAGCAGCACAGTGCACACTGCCAGGGAGGTCAGAATGGGAACTTGACTGCTCCCTGGCCTCTTGGGAGTCCTTTGGGAAGGCTTTAGGGACTTGGAAAGAGGGGGTGTCAACACTGGGCTTGGCACAGACATGCATGTTTCTGGGCTTCTGGCAGCCCCCGCAGCAGGGCAAGGGCTGCCCACCCAGCCTCTGTCGGCCTCCCCATGCCTGCACACTTTACTGAGTACCTGCCACGGGCCACTGCTGCTGGGTGTGCAGGCCTGGGCCCTGCACCTGTGGAGGGAGGAGGTGCTTCTCTTGGGCTTGGAGACACCACAGTTCCAAATCCAGCAGAGTGCTCTCCTTCTCAGCACGTTGGATATATGTTTCTAGATAAACACTCTAAGCCAGGCCTCCAAAGGCAGCGCTGAGGCTTCCTCTGAGCCACTCTGAGCCAGGGTTTCTCAACCCTGCACTGTTGACATTTGGGTCAGATGATCCTTTGTTGTGGGGGCTGTCCTGTGTATTGTAGGATATTTAGTAGCATTCCCGCTCGCTACCCACTAGACCCTAGCAGCACCCTGTCAGTGGGATAACCACAAATCCTTCCAGATATTGCCAAATGTTCCTTGGGGGGCAAAGTCACCCTCAGTTGAGAACCACTGCTTTAGGCAAATTACTACACAGATGGGAAGCCCCAGGAACCCCCAGACAAAGCCAGCAGCCAGGCCTCTGCACCTCAGCATATGCCAAAATCTGGCTCTGGACACACTCAGCAGCTCCCATAGTGGCACTGGTACCCTGCCAGGTCAGGCTGCCAGTGGCCATAGTGTGCCAGGAGTGGCTGCAGGGCTTGTGGCCCTAGGGCTCTTGGGCTCAGCCCAGACAGCTTGGCCTCTGGTCACTCACTTTGGCTAAAGAGCAAAAGAAGACCTCGAGTGGGGGCAGGAAAGCCAAAGAGGTAAGACAGTTGTAAGTCTGGGGAATTTAGAGGCAGAAAGACCTCAATAATCCACAAACATTGTTTAAGCCCCTACTGTGTACCATGTACTCCATTATATGCCAGCTATATACATGATACCAATAGGACTATAGCATAGGGATCAGGGGGCAGGCTGAGCGGGCCTGAAGTCTGGCCTTGCCCCTTACTACTTAGTGACTCTGGGCAAGTTGCTTCTCTCTGATCCAGTTTCCTCATCTACAAATGCAATAATGATAGTACCCATAGGATAATGAAATAACCACAGGGCTATGAGAGTTAATGAGGCAATGCATTTAAGGGCCTTGTCAAAGTGTTAAATGCTCAATAAATGGTTTTATTATTTTTTAATATTACAACATGGCCTCTGCCAGTGGGGCACTTACAGTACAGCCCCTAGGCCCACAGCTGGAGAACCCAGTGTGACAACCATGGCTCAGGAAGGGAAACGGGGCATCATTGTAACGTCATAAATGACTCTGCTGGTAGCTTCCTGCGCAAGGTCTCAGTCACACAAGTAACTCCAGAATTAATCCAGATCTTGTAAAATTCATTAATTTCAGCTTTGTCTCCTTTCCCTTTCTTGGTGTGGTTTAGCAAGTTTCATCTGGTCCTTTCCTGTGGTTACATTAAGTAAAACTCTCTCCTTGTGGAGACAGGCAGCAGGGCCAATGGAGGGACACTTGGGACCCACCACTACTGCGGTGAAGACCAAGCCTGGCCCCAGGACGCCCATGTCCTGTGTCCCAGGCCACGTCAGTGCTAGGCTCTCGGCTCTCTGCAGGCAGGGAGAACTGCTCGACCTAGACAAGGCCAGGGCCTGTGGTGGGGGTGGGACCCAAGAAGCCTGGGGAGCTTGCTCTGGCTGAGCCCAGTGGGTCCGAGGCCCAGACTTGGGGTTTCCAAGCTAGTAGCTCAGCCCAAGCTGGCTGCTTGAGAAGATTTCCTGAAAGTTGATTTAGCTCTAGGAGCCAGGACCAGGAGCCACTGGGCACCTAGACAACCACTATGTGATGGGTTCTGAGAAGTTCCAAGAAGGCCTCTCTGCAGTCCCTGGAGGTCCACTGTAGGTTATGTAGGGCCCTCTCCCTGTGCCCCCCCCTTTTTTTTTAATTTTTTTTTTTTTTTTAATATATCTTTATTGATTTCAGAGAGAGGAAAGGAGAGGGAGAGAGAGAAAGAAACATCAATGATGAGAGTCATTGATCGAGCCCGCAACCTGGGCATGTGCCCTGACTGGGAATCAAAGCCTGATCACCTGGATCCCAGGTCGACGCTCAACCGCTGAGCCATGCCCGGTCGGGCTCCCCATGCCCCTTTTAAAAACACATAATCCATAGTCATGTTGCACACCACCAGCTGCCTGGGGAGAACCCCAAGGAGACGGTCATTTCCTGGCAGGGCTAGCAGGAGAGTTTGGGCTGGGAAAGGCAAAGAGCTTTGAAGGCTTCCAGGGGTGGGCCCAGTCTGCCATTCCTCCATCTTCCCTCCCTCCCCGCAAGGATAGGCCCTACCTTTCCTTCCTTGTGGGGGGTTCTGAGGCAGGAGTTTCATGCTTAGGAGCAAGTGGAGGGGCTTCTCTGGGGAGCCCTTAGAAAAATTCCCCAGGATCTCTGGCCCAAAGGTTGGATTTGGCTAGACCTACCCTCCTGATCCCAAATCTCTCTGGTACCATATCCCCAGCCCAGGGGGTCCTAAAAGCCCCCAGATGAAAACATGGCTCTGTGGTCCTCTATGGGGAACAAAACAGGGCTTCTGCCTGCATGGGCCCTTGGGTGGGAGAACCATGGGAGCAACTGCCCTGACCCAGATTCCCCAGGTGGCCCCGCAGCAGAGGGGGAACTGCCTCCCGGTCGCCTCCCTGGGGTCTGGCTGTCAGTTCCCTAGGAAGAAACACCCAGCACAAGGACACCCCAGGGACTCTGCTTTCTTTGTCTTCTCAGGAGCAGGCAAATTGGATGTAGAGAGCTCTTGTTTGGTCTGTTCAGCTGGGAACAGTGGGGGCTGGTTTCCTGAGCAGAACTGTGGTTTGACTTCAGCTCCGTTTAAAAATCTTTGCTTGTGGCACCTCCCCAATTTGGCCTGATGCCCTGCTTAACCCTGCTCATGTCCAGGAGTCCTAGCAGCCACCCCCTGCCTCTGAGAAGTTTGCTCCAAACATTCCCACAGCCAAACCTCTTTCTGTTTCTCTTTCCTTACAGCCCAACCCCTCATTCCGACCACCACAGAAAGACTCCCCGACAAACCTGGTGGCCAAGGCCCAGTCCTTGCCCTCAGGCCAGTCCATGGGCACCTTCAGCCCTCTGACCACCTCAGATACCAGCAGCCCCCAGAAGTCCCTCCGCACAGCCCCAGCTGCCGGCCCTCCTCCAGGACGGTCTTCCCCTGCTGGCTCCCCCCGCACCCGGCACGCCCAGATCAGCACCAGCAACCTGTACCTGCCCCAGGACCCCACTGTAGCCAAGGGTGCCCTGGCTGGTGAGGACACAGGCATCGTGACACATGAGCAGTTCAAGGCTGCACTCAGGATGGTGGTGGACCAGGGTGACCCCCGGCTGCTGCTAGACAGCTACGTGAAGATTGGCGAGGGCTCCACAGGCATTGTCTGCCTGGCCCGAGAGAAGCACTCGGGCCGCCAGGTGGCCGTCAAGATGATGGACCTCAGGAAGCAGCAGCGCAGGGAGCTGCTCTTTAATGAGGTGGGAGGAGAGGGTGGGTGTGGGTGGGCATCAGGGATGGGGAAGTAGCACCGAGCCGGCTGGAGAGGTGCGAGTAGAGAAGTGAGGTCTGCCCGGCACTCAGGCGTCCCCACCTGCCCCCAGGTGGTGATCATGCGAGACTACCAGCACCTCAACGTGGTGGAGATGTACAAGAGCTACCTGGTGGGCGAGGAGCTGTGGGTGCTTATGGAGTTCCTGCAGGGCGGGGCCCTCACGGACATCATCTCCCAAGTCAGGTGGGCAGCTGGAGGGCTGGGGCCCCATGCTAGCTGCCTCCACCATTGCCCTGGCAGGGATATCAGGCAGCCTGGGGCCCAGGAAACTTGGGGGAACTATCAGATCATCCTGACTATCCCCTGTCTGTTTGGGTTAATAGACCCAAGGGCCTCAGGGGAGTGGGAGGATAGGTGGCGTCCAGCCTAGGCCCAGGCCCATTTCCACCAGGGCTCTGTTCTAACTGAGCTCCCACACACATTACCCAGGAACTGTGAGGCCTGGTACCAGGGGCACCTGCTCTCCCAGCCAAAGCTAACATTCTCTTCCAACGGTGGCCCTGCCTTCCCTGTCCAGGCTGAACGAGGAGCAGATTGCCACTGTGTGTGAGGCCGTGCTGCAGGCCCTGGCGTATCTGCACGCCCAGGGTGTCATACACCGGGACATCAAGAGTGACTCAATCCTGCTGACCCTTGATGGCAGGGTAGGTCCCTCCCCACTCTGGCACACACGTGTCCCCCACTTCCTTGCTCCCAGCATGGCTCCTCCTCCTGGTTCACAACTCCACTTTTTCCCTCTTACCTCAACCCCAGGTGAAACTGTCAGACTTCGGATTCTGTGCTCAGATCAGTAAAGACGTCCCTAAGAGGAAGTCCCTGGTGGGAACTCCCTACTGGATGGCTCCTGAAGTGATCTCCAGGTCTCTGTATGCCACCGAGGTAACTGTTCTCTCTATCCCCCAGTCCTCCCAGAAGAGGCTTGGGAACACACAACTCTTCCACTTTTGCCCCCCCCCCCACCAAAAATAGCCCTGATTCTCGGGCTCCCACTTAGTCAATACCCTACCCTACTGCCCATTTTCCCTTCTTGAATGGGGCCTGTGACTTTGCTGCCACAAACTGGTCCCAAAAATGCTCCTTCCCAGCTCAAGGACAAGGGGTATGGCCAGGCTTCCCCATGTGTGATGGCATTTCTCAGAGTGGCTGACAGCTGTGTCCCTAGTCAAGGTTACTCATGTAGGAAGTAACTGTCCACAGGGCAGTTGGCCAGGAAGGAGACCAATTCACTAAAGAGAAGTGGGACCAGCTGTCCCCTCCCCCGCAGCATGCTGCTACCAAGAGCCAGACTCTGAGACATTCTCCTCCTGCAGGTGGATATCTGGTCTCTGGGCATCATGGTGATTGAGATGGTGGACGGGGAGCCACCCTACTTCAGTGACTCGCCAGTGCAAGCCATGAAGAGGCTCCGGGACAGCTCCCCACCCAAGCTGAAAAATTCTCACAAGGTCAGTCTGTGCATAAGGTGTGACCCTGTAGACCCCATTCTTCCTTAGGCTTTGAGAACCAGACCCTGGGCTCCCAGGCCCAGCGTCTCTGTTTCACAGAAGCCAGAGGATCTGGGCTCCTGGAAAAGGCACCTCTTTCTCCACACAAAACCTGCACCTAGGCATGGAGCCACACCTATACATAAACTCCCAGTGTCACTCCAACAAGTTTCTCCCTCAAGCGATTGACAGGAGCCAGAAAGAAGGGAGAGCAAAGCTGCCAGGAATCCCTGATGTTCTGGGGAGGAATCTAGAGAAGCTAACTGAGCGGGAACTCCTCAACCCCATCTGTCAGCAGAGCCAGCACAGTGTTCCCCAGTCTATCACAGTGAATCAGCTTGTGCTCCCTTACTGCACATCCTCACTACATCTGAGCCACAGTGTTTCCCTTAAAACCTGTGTGTGTATGTGTGTGTGTGTGTGTGTGTGTGTGTGTGTGTGTGTGTGTGTGTGACCAAATCCACCCAAACCAGCAGGCCTAACTTGTGGACACCCCTGTCTAGTGGCCAGGACAGCACAGGGCTGCAAATGGCACTGCCATCTGGTGGCCAGAGTGAGAAGTGTTCCAGAGAGTTGAAGCCCAGCCCCTAAAGGGCAAAATAGTTCTGTGGCCCCAACACTGCTGGATGGGAGGACATTCAGTAAACCCCTCCGAATCAGCTGGTCCTTAGAGACCACTGCTGACCCCAAGATTAGCAGATTAGGGGAGAGTTCTAGTGGACTAATTCCTCAGAGGAGATAGCCTTCTGTGACAGCCCAAGACTTAGCCTCACCCTAAGATATTGGCTCAAAATGAACCAAGATAAGCCCTTGACTTAAACTCTAAGGCTTAGAGCAATAAAGAAATCTTTCTTTTCAGAGTTCACCTTGTTCTTTTTTATTTTTCAAAAACTTCTTCATCCCTGACTTGTTTTCTGTCCTCACTAAAGCCCTATGTGGCAGACAGAGCAAGCATATTTTATTATTAGCCCATTTTGCAGATGAGAAAACTGAGGTCTAGAGAAAATTGCAACTTGCTGGAGATCAGAGATAAACGCCGGACCATATCACTGATACCAATCCCATACCCCTTTCCATAGAGCCTGAACGCGAAGAGAGCCCAGAGAAGCAGGGTGTGGAATGGTCTGTGTTTAGAGCCCAGCTTCCCCAGCGCTCCAGGCACCCTAATTCCATTGCTCAGCAGCACCCCCTGGAGGCAAACTGGCCGCTTTTCCTTGACTGATGCTGATTTTCTTTACCTCTTGATAATCACACCTGGGAGGTAGCAGGAAGAAAGAAGAGAGAGAATTTAAGACTTTCAAATGATGGTGGGGTCAGGCAGATGGGTCACCCCAAAAGGACTGCAAATTGTAGCTTCTTCTCACTGCCCGTCTCCACAGGTTTCCCCAGTGCTGCGAGACTTCCTGGAACGGATGCTGGTGCGGGACCCCCAGGAGAGAGCCACTGCCCAGGAGCTCCTGGACCATCCCTTCCTGCTGCAGACTGGGCTCCCTGAGTGCCTGGTGCCCCTGATCCAGCTCTACCGCAAGCAGACCTCCACCTGCTGAGCCCACCCCAAGTGCACCTGCCACCTGTGCCCATAGGCAGGGGACACTGGGCAGCCAGCTTGCTGGCAGGGCCTGCTTGCTTCATTCTCAGTATTCTCTCCAAAGATTGAATGTGAAGCCCCACCCCCACCCTCCTGCCCCTCAGCCCACTGGGCCAGGCCGGACCTGCCCCTTAGTCTCTCTCCCCCTCAAGAGAGTCCCCAGTTGCCTTTGGGATGGTAGAGACCCCTTTTTCAGGATGACCCTTTGTTATTTGCACAGGGATATTTCTAAGAAACACGGAGACCAGCACTTCTGGCCACTGCAGCCAACACAGCAGAAAAGGCTGCTGCGGTTTTTTAAAAGCAGTTGTACACTAGCATCCCAGGCCACCAGGAGGGCAGAGTGCCTGCCTTCACCAGGATACTTGCTGTTCTCAGTTCCAATTCCAAACCCTAGAGTCTCGAGAGGGCCATAGGGAAAGTTTTTATTACCTGAATCCATCTTCTTCCCTTGTGTCTGACTTCCTGAAGACACAGTCCCACCTGCACCTGCTTCCTGACCCACCTGCACTGACAACACACAACACTCATGCACAGCCTGTTCTGAACTGTGAACAGGCCATGGGAGGCAAAGGGACATTTTCCCAGTGAGAGAGAAATAATGGGGGTTGGTGGTAAAGGTGGTGTCACTTTACAGGATGCACGTACTCATGTGTGCTTGTGTGCCTGTGTGTGTGCCTGTGTGTGTGTGTATAAGTGGAGGAAGGTCACCCTGACAGCCTGGCCCCTTCAGTAAGGCTTCCTTATTCTCTTTCCCACTAAATTCTGCTCTGAAGGGACCTGCTTTCTTGGCCTGGCTTCCACCCCTTAAGTCCTGTGTCTCTCCTGGACCAATCAAGAGGTCTGTATTGAGGCTGATGCATCCTGCGGGCTGGGCAGCTCTCCGAGTTTCTCCTGTACTATGGAGTCTGCCAGCCCAAGTATGCAAGGATGAGGAAACTGTTTTACCTGTGAGCTTCATCTCAATAACCAGGACATCAGGGACCCTTTCTTTTAAAAATCCTGGTCTGGGGGAGGTGAACCAGCTCTGGGGATTCCATCATGTCAAGACAATGGGCAACCCATTTGTGCAAACCATCTGCCCCTCGCTGCCTCCTCAGGCACCTGTCTCCTTGTCCACCTTCAGGGCTGTTGTGAGACAGGAGAGCCCAGGGAAGAACTCCAGGTGTCTGGGCCCTATCTAGATCATATTTTTAGATTCCTGTTCCCTAGTGGCCTGATTTGGGGCAAAAAAAAAAACTAAAAAAAAAAAAAAAAAATTGCAAGGACTTTTTTTTAAGGGTCAAAATTTTAAAAACAAAAGCATCTTCCCTCGAAACTTTTGTGAATTGTTTGCACTTGTGCCTGTTTTAAATTAAACTTGAGTGTTCAAAACCTCTGGACTTCCTATTGTCTCTGGGGGTGGAGCCAAGCTGCCTTTGAGCTGGACACTCTGTAGTGGGTGTCTAGTGTGGCCCTTGTCCTCCCCAACGCAAGCTTTCCAGTGGCCACTAGTCCACAGAATACCCAACTCCCTGGTGGTGTGTGGGCAGGGAATGAGGGAAACAGGAAGTGAAACACCCTTGGGACTGAAAGAGCTGAGAAACAGCCTCCTTCCCAGGGGAGAAGAGCCCAGCCAGGAGAGCCAGGGCCATGCTGGCTTGCTGGCGCAACACAGGCTCTGGGAGCAGCCACCGGGGCTGATGACCACTTTCTGCAGCAGCTTCTCCCTTCTGTTTGCTTCTCACTCCTTGGAAAGTCAAAGGCTACTCTCCTCGAGCTGTCCATAGGAAGGGGCCTAGAACTGCTTCCAATGAGAAAGCTGTCTCCATTTCGGTTCTCAGAGCTGAGGGAGACAGTGAGTTTTGAAAGAGCAGTGCAGTGGCTGGAAATCAAGAAACCTGAGTTCTAGTCCTGGGAGTGGGATGGGTAGATGAAATTATCTTGAAACTTGTAGCTCTGACACTGATTCCAGTACTTCCTGAGAGCTCATCCTACCCCCTAGCCCCGGGCTCACTGAAACCTCCTAACCAGAAGCAAGAAGCCATGCAGACCATCTCCTGCTCCTCACAGCATTCACACCTAGATAGCTGCCATGGTCCAAGGGCCCCAGTCCCACCAGCTCAGCCAGAAACAGCACCTGAGTCTTACCTTCTAGAGGCAGCCACAGTGGGACAGGCAGAGATGGAGGCAAGTGCACTCATCCACCTCTCCAAAACAAAGGGAGCCCACAGGCGGGAGTGGTTGGTAAGGCAAAGAGAGGCCAGTTCTCGCAACTGAACAATACTGGGTTTATTAACTATTCTTTTGAGTATTAATAGTCCTTCCACCACACAGTGTCATTCAAAAAGCATCTGTGTACGTCATTCAGCCTCACACAGACCAGTTCTGAGTTTGATCTTAGAGTACCAGACTCCAGCGGCATGGGTAACTTCACAATGACAAAAGCAAAGAGAGTTGGAAAAGCAAAATGTTTAGAAAGTCTCTTCCAAAGTGGAGAGAGCTACAGAGGACCCCAGCCTCAACGCCTTTGGGCTGACAATGAGGAAGTTCAGGAGAGCAAATGTGGTGAAACATTTAAGTTCTGCACAGGGCTGGGCCTGGTCAATCTGCAAGAACAGCAAGTCAGTCAGACACACAATTCAGTTCAGACAGGAAAGATCAGCTGTGGTTTTTTAGAAACATCACTTTCAGCCACCCAGCCCTTGGCAACTTCACGGAGAGCAACCCTCATGGTTGTTTACCCAATAAAGAGAGCCCAAGGTGACATTCAACCAGAAAGCCCCGTGTCAGTGACACTTGAAAAGATACAGCACCTTCAACACAATGTGCAACCCAGACCCCATGGTGTTTTGAAGAAGCCAAAATATTTGTATTCTTACACCATCAGAAACTTCATGAAAATTAAACACAATTGGAAAGGGAGTAAGTAAGCAAGCAAGGATCAGGAAAAAAGGAGTTTGCACTTGGGGTGTCCAGTTACCCCCATCCCACCCCAGATCCTCTCCTTCTGGCTTTTCAGGAGCTTCTGTATTGTTTACCCACCACCCAGACAGTGGAACTAAGGGGAGGCAGGTGTTTCAAGAGAAAGGGGCGGGGGAAGGGCAAAACACCCCCAAAACAAAAGGAAAGCTCATCAGAAGAAAACAGTGCATAATCAGTAGGTCCCAAGGTTCAGAAATCATAAGGGAGGTCTGGGAGCTGCAGTTTTTCGGAAGACAGCAGGATCTCTCAGGACACAGAGCCTTAACTTGGAAGATCTTGGGGTCTTTCGTGAAGGGTCTGGGCTCCTGCTACTCCAAATGCAAATGTTTTGTTCATTGTCCCTCACTTCAATGCTGTGAAATGATTTCAAGTATCAGGATTTAATATACTACAAGAGTGTGAGGATTCCTTGGGTAAATGCACGCGGAGGGAGAAGTAGACAGCAGCGATCCCAAATAAAACCAGAAGTCCGAACTCCAAGCCAGGGTGCAGCGAAGAGAGCGCAGTGATGCCACCAGGGGGCACCAGAGATCAGGCCCAGTGTAGGGGTCCTAGCGGCCTCTGGGGCCTGAAAGGTGTAAGCGTTGGGGAGACGTCTGACATCTACCTCCACAAGACCCGTGCCTGACCATCCACCCCTCACCCCCAGGCCCAATTTCTCAGCACAGGCCATTCTCTTTCCGGGCAGTTCCCTTTGAGTTACTGGTGAGAAACCTTCCGTTCTGCAAAAACGAACAGGTTGATGTCTTGAAAAGACCCCTTTGCAGATGAAAAAGGCGTTCACAGAAAGAGCCCCCACACGCCGCCCCCTGGCGGGCTGGGCGCACGGATCCAAGTGCTAGCGCTTCCGCCGGGTCCTAAGACGCGCGATGCGCCAGGCCCGCTTAGTCGCCCCCTCGCTGGGGCGGGAGGGAGAGAGCGCCACCAGCCCGGGAAAGGGCTTTCAACCACCTCTGCGGGTGCCTCTGACTCACTAATCTGCCCAGGAGGGAGCGGGGCTGGGCCTGCGGCCCACGCTCAGGGGCACAGGCAGGGGTCCTTGGTCTTGACCTCCAGCATCCATCATCCGCCCTGCCCTCCATTAACAGCCCAGCGAGAGGCAGGAGCGCGTGAACAGCCCCCTCCCAGCTCTCGCCGGAGTTTGATGTAATTTAAACCCAAGCCTGCGGCTCGTGTGGGCTTCCGACTCCCGCGCGCCGCCGTTTAACGTGGCAAACACTTCAGTCAATTATCCCCCTCGCGGAGCTTCTATTTAAAGAGACATTGTCAGGTTCTTAAGCCTCGGATCAGACCTGCTGCTTTCTGCTTCATGTACAAAGACTCAAAACACGAGCTCTTTGAGGATTGGAAGAAATGCAATTAAGCAAAACCTTCGCAACTGTTCCACCCTGCAGGAGCACCCACGTGTGGGACGGGGGAGCTGGGAGGCGGTGGGGCCGGGAGAAATGCTTAAGTCCTTTCCATTTCAGGCTTCTGAGAGTGAGAGGAAATGAGGCTGGGACAGGAGGAGTGAGACCTCAAAGATGGAACTCAAATCTAGAGGAGCCTGGGGATGGGCTGGGTGGGCGCTGCCTGGGGCAATGAACACAGATTGCCAGTGGAGTGAATTCTGGGTGGGCCTGGGAAGGGGTCGAGGGAACTGGAATTATCCAGAAGCTGGTTCAAGGGACAACAAGCGTTCAACACCCTGGGCTCTGCCACTTCCAAAATAGGCTTTCATTGTCTTGAGGCAGGAGTTTCTAACCCCCAAAAATTTAACCTCCAGATTCTTTCCTAATCAGCTAATCCAGAAAGTCTCTGAGGCCCATCTCCTTGCTCCCCTTCTCCAACACTCAAGGAGTTGGGGAGCTTAGGTCCTGTGGCATTATTGTCAGCATCACTGGGAGAGGGGGTGGCTAGGCCCTTTTCCTATAGGTCCAGTCTTCTCTGTGCCTGGCTGCCTGGGTGTGGGGAAACCTGACAATGGGAAGGAGATGGGGCAGGAGCCAGCCAGGCTCAGGACTGAGCCTTAGGATGGAGGAAAGGGGGTCCATCTTCCCGGAAGGCTGCAGCTCATGGAACCAGACTTCTACTCCTCCCCTTCCAGGACAGGAAAAGGCAGGCTGAAGGGAAGGTGAGACTTACGCAGGGGATACCAAAAATGCCAGCGAGCACAAAGAAGAAATAATAGGGGTTCCTTTCAGAGAGAAGGCCACTCATCTTGGCAGTAGGGACAGGTTCTGGGATCACAGGTGGGAGGGAAAGTGAGGACCTAGAAGAAAGAGAAATCCAGTGGAGCAGAGACAGGCAGGTGCAGGGAACAAGGCTCGTCCTCGACGCTGTTTACCGCAGATCGTGCAAAACCACGGCCTCCGTGCCTGCTTGCCAAGGCTGGGGCCCAGGCACGGAGTGCGGCACAGCGTTGGCCTCTAGCTCCGCGCCGCTCTCCGGCGCCGGTGCCTCCCCGACCAGGCTGGGGATGTCTGGAGCTGTGGAGCGTCGGCGCAAACCCAGGCGGCCGGAGCCGGGGCCGCCTTCGGGGTGAGGGCTGAGGCCGATGGGGGCTTGCGCCGAGGTCAGAGGCGCTCCCTCCAGCACCTCATGCGAACGCCACCGCCCGGTCCCCGAAGACTGGGGAGAGTGTGGTCGGGCCATCAGGGCTCCCGCCCGCAGTCGAGCTGCCTCCTCCTCGGTCACAGCACCCAGAGCCAGACTCATGCTCCGGCCCAGCTCGGGCCGCTCGCTCCCCTGCGCCCGGTGCCGACCCGCGCTCTTGCCCCC